TGCTTCGGGTTGCGACCAATTCGGGGTGCGACCAGAGTCATGGAACGAATTAAGTTCGTAAACCGAGGTACCACTGTATACTGAACAGAGCTTTGGTCTGATAAGAGTAAGATTTTGGGGGGGGGGTCCTGTTTCTATCAGATATTAAGATCAGTGTTATGTATTTAAGGGTTGTTCTCATTTAAATATTATTTCATTTTGAATCTGGTATGAGTACAGCATTTTGATATTTTAGCAGAGTGAACTTTCCTTATATAATATAATCTCTAACCTTGTCAAAACTAGTGAGGCACTGCTGCAAAATTTTCACTGTTCACAGAATGAGTATTCATTCTTTGCTTATCTATATCCTTGTTCAGTTTGTTTGTTTGGATGACAGCTTTCAGTCTGAATTTGGAAATTTGAATCAACCTTGTGAATTCAACCTTTCAATTTTAGACCATAGTTGAATATTGGCATTACACAAAAATTAAAGTGCTAAATTGAGAAATGTTACCTGTGTTTGGTATTTGGTATTTCACTTGAATTCCAAAGGATACCTGCATAAAGAATCAGAAGAATGCACATTGCTAGATTTAGATTGGAGTAAGATGCTACTCTTGGATGTCAAGGGAAATCACTGTTACTTCTCTCACTATCTTCTTGGTCTCAAGGTTTTTTATAGAGTCTGATTCCTCCAATGTTTGTAACAGAGTATCTTAATAGAGTATCTCCCTTGATTCATTGATGACATAAGTAGAAGCAGTATAGTGTGTTTCATTCATGTTTGAACTATATGCTTATAACATTCATTTCTTTATATTCAACAGGTTCCCAGAATATTTATCAATGGAAACTTCGTTGGAGGTGCTACAGATACTCAGCGTCTTCACAGGGAGGGTAAATTGCTTCCATTAGTTCACCAGTGCCAGATCCAAAGAGAAGGAAACTCAGTACCCTCATATAGTTTTCCTTGACTTTTTAATACATCTTGACAATCTTTAATTTGTAAATCCAGATTTGACTTTGGCACCTTATATGTACAAAAATGCTTCAACAACCTTGAATTGCCCCAAAATATATTAGCTAGTAAATCTGCAGGCTGCAACCCTATAGTGTTTGATCATAGAAAACTAAGCAGCTAGATGCACAAATGCTGGAATAAACCTTGTCACATTAGTTGAGTTCTGGAAACTAGGTTTAAGAATTATGCCACCTGCACTCAAATTTATAGTAATACTCCAAGGAAGATTTTGGTATAGCTGTGAGCACCTGCACAATGATCAGATGCCCTCCATGAGAGTTTTATCATTGATTGGTGTTTCTGCAACTCTGTACTAAGCTGTATAACTCTGTTGTCTGTGCATGCCCCGTTTCTCTCAGCAAACTGAGCATTGGCAAGTTGGCATGTTAAGCATAAAATGTGAAGAGAGACCTGGACAACACAAAATTAGCAGGTAGAGTGCTGGAAATGGATACTGGGAACAGACGAAACAGCAGTTGGAAAGGGAGAAACTGAACTCAGAGAAGCATTTTCTTTTCCCTGTTACTTAATTCTTCCTTTCTCTTCAACATATTCCCTTCTTTTCAACCTTTTTCTTTTCTTCTTCTCTCTTTGGAGCTTGTTTTTTTTTTTTTTTCCAAAACCACAAAACCACAAGCTCTCCTTAGCCCCAGCACATGCATTGGGATTAGGAGTGAGGGGAATTTTTTTTGCGTGTGGTTAAATACATAGAAGGAAGGCCTCTGCCCCCTTTTAAAGTCATATAGAAAGGGAATACCAGCAAGTTGCAAAGAATAGCTTGAATGCCCTCTGTGGAGAGAGGCAGAATATAAATTGAATGAATAAGAAGCCCTTTTGGATAAGATATATAGACTAGTTTTAAATAGATTGAAGTTCTACTGTATTCACTTGTACCTACATGTAAGTACGTATACAACTGTAGTTTGCACTCTCAGCTTTGCTAGTCTCTGTGCTTAGCAAGTAGGACTTCTGTAACATGGGTCTTCATTCTCAGCAAAGGCACCATCACTAACTTTTTCTCAGTTCAGATATGTCCAAGGTTATCTATCCTTGCCTGATGTAATATTGGAGATTATTTAGGCAGAGTATCAGAACCACCCTTCAAGAACACATCACATGAAGGAGTTTTGGTCGGGAATTAGGTATCTAATTCTAATTAGGTAAAAAGGACCTCATCAGCTATATCCAGCAGAATGTTAGTAAATGATTCATAGACGGGTGAATACTTTCAAAGAAAAATTTGCAAAAAGTAATATGCAAGTCAGATTGAGAGGTTTTTTTTTTAAAAAAAAACACTGTTCTTGCTGTCCTAGTGACAAGAAAATCTTAGTTTTTTGTGAGATAAGAGGTTTAAAACATCTAGATTGCTAAATGACACATTTCATTATCAAAACCTTTTGAAAATGTGACCTCTTTGTGGCTTGCAATTGCATGGTATTTATGAAATAGTACTTTATGGGTATATGACAAAAAAGGTTATTGTGACCTACTAAATGCTTTTTCTGTTTGTATAATATATTTGCATTAAACAAATACCAGTTATTTATTAGAATTTTCCACTCATGTGTTATGATTAACTGTACATAAGCTGCATGCACGCATCATATAGAATGTTTTTTGAATTCCACTTTTCAGCCAAGTATTGTATCCTAAAGCAGACTTTAAAAAAAAGAAAGAAAACCGTACAACAATTGGATATAAGACATAGCTGAAAATTTTACCAGTAGTGCAACAAGAAGCATCATATGTCAAAGTGTGAACAGAACATCAGATTATATAATGGGGTCTCTTAGTGTAAAGTCAATCCTGAAAACAGTTTTTTTAAATCTAAAAATATAAAATTAATGAGCTTATATCATGCTTTGTCTCCAATTTTTCTTCCTCCCAAATCACCATGTAAGAGTAAACAGGACAGAGGACATTCACAGAGAGACCTACCCATCCACCCACCCATCCATTCACAGAAGCAAAATATCAAGAACAAAAACAACCACATGGAATTGAACCACACATCCAGCAGCCATAGAACCACAATTCCAGTTCACCTTTCTGACCACATATTACCCTAGTAAATAACGATTGTGGAGTCATTAAAGGTAATTAAAATGATGAGGTGCATAGAATTTATTTTGCACTTGTTCTACAAAGCATAAAGCACTTAGGAACATTTCATTTACATTTGTATCTAAAAACAGTCATTTATTTACTCAAAATGAAGGGTAGGATTGCCAACAAACCCCCTGCTCTCTGATAATGTTTAATAAGAAAGGGATTGTACCTCAGTTAAAGATGTACTCCTCTCCAAAAGGAAATCCAAGGCTGATTATTTATTTCAAAGTGGAAGTCACATACCAAATACTAGATGTTTATTATAAAGTTTTGACAGTACTGGCACTGTTTTGCTTTTTTAAAAAATATAATTATAAGCTTCAGAAGAACATGATTCTAATGAGAGGAGCAATAATTTAACCCTTTTCCTTCTAACAATGTTTTTCCATACAGTCACTCATTAAAATTATGATGCCCAAAGGTAAAAGCATCTGAAGTGAAAGAGTGGGAAGAATATTGCGATTTGGACCAGAAAATCATCTGGTGGAGCAAATCATCTGGTCAAACAGTCCTCTCCTTCACCTGTTAAATTATTCTCAGGGCCCCACTGCATCTATGACACATGCAGCTTGCTTCCACAAATTAATTGCTTTTGCCCTTTAGAGTGATGAGCAGCAACTTCTAATTGTTGCTAAACACTGAAACTTGTTTCTATCATAAAGTTTAAATAAGGAGGTTTGTTAGCTTACTGGCATTCTTCCTTTTTATTTTAAAAGGTATAGTGTATCTTTCATATACAAAACTGTCAGACACAGACAACTGGATAACTGCATTGTTTCCTGCTATCAGAATAAGTTTTGCAAAAATCTTTGTAACCCTGTTAAGTATTTTTTATCAATCAAATTAAACATATACATTTCACAATATCCATACTAAATTAAAAAATGTACATTTTGCACAATATTTCTGCCTCAACATTTCTTCAGAAACTCACTGAATCCTCAGCTAAAGGATTCAATTTTTTCACAATGTTAATAAATTAATGTGGTCTATGGATTGCCACTTAAGGATAATACAGATTTGTATATAGTGCAAAAAAACAGATGATGAGTATTGTGTTATCCTGATAAAACTACAGTAATGTGTAAAATTAGTATTTTCAAAACGTTACATTTTTAAATCCTTGTTGTACACAAAATGATTTGAGCAACTACCAGCCTTTCCCAACAGAGTACTGATTATATATTCTCCAATCTCAGAACATAGCGACATTAGGCAGAAAATTATTCTGGAAAAAAGTTACACATCTACAGATTTGAATGACTGTCCGTTTCTTATGGCCATGTGTTTTAAGGCTTTCTAAAGGCAATGGTGACACTTGATCAAAGTAAAGTTCTTTCCCCACCACCAAATTAAATCTCAATCTATTACAAAAATTTTACCCACTGTTTATTTTAACAGCATAATCTGAATACCTGGATATAAATGTTCAGCAACATTTCAGTTGAACTACATATTGTACAAATATGTAGAGATATCCAGTTAAACCCAAGTGTTGCATGTTCCATATTAATGTACTATACAATATTTGTTCATTGGAGAATTGAGACACTTGATGATGTTTTGCTGTTAAGAGTTGTTCAACTTAAAAGTATAAATGCAAGGTCAATTCCTTTCCTAAGCTATCATCTTTTAACTAAGTTCTGCCACTCCAGCAAGTACACAGTTCACATATTCTTCCTTGGCATTATCTGCTTATAAGAACAATTAAGTTATTAGCTTAGTCTTCTTTCTGAGACACTAGTTTACAATGTAGCTGGATGATGCTTTTATATTAAAGCATGATCTCATGCAATTTGATATAATATAGCTAGATCAGACATTTTTACTGCAATGGAAACAAATTGATATGGGTTATTTATCAAATATTCTTGATATCCCAAATGACTGTCAAACTGGGTGCTCAATTTCTCATACTTACTATCTATCCTGGATAGATTCCAATGAGAAATCTTTGGTATTGTATTCAACAAAGCAGGATGCCAGTTTAGTAATGTCAGTACGTTCTTGGCATATATAAATAAAGGTTCTGAAAGATCAAAAGAATCCCTATATGCCTTTAAGAGATTACCAGTTCAGGGTATTACAGAGTTATTGTGCAGATGACACTTTCTGATTCACTGATCATGAATACACAATTCAAAAGCAGCCATATGATCACACATTTCCTCTTTTTTTGAAACCCTCTGTGCTAGCATCAATCAATAGCACTAACTGGTCAGCACTAACCAGAATTCAAAGTTGGAAACACTAAAATTCATCATTAATTCAAATTATACTGAATTGTGATTAGAGTATGTGCCAATATAACCCCTAATAATGGCTGAGGCAAGCAGAATATAGAAGCACATACTCCCACAACACCCTTTAACAATATTGAGAGTGTTACATTTGTATTAAGCTAAAGGTACAATCTACAATTTAACAAAATGGTATCAAAGACTAATTCTAAAACAAGAACAGTGACTATTGAGAAGAAAAAAAATGGAAATGTCATCTGTAAGAGGCAAACCTGAAAAAGACATCAGTGATCACCAAAAGAAAAAAGATGGAGTAGGATTAAGCTGACATGGACAGAAAGTGCATTTGAGTGTCACACATGAATTAGCAGCACTACTAGAGTATGAGGTAACTTTCGGATTAAGTAAAACAGCCAGTGTTGTATAGTGATTAAAGTGCTAGAGTAAGAGTAGAAGAGCAGTGAAGCCAGATGGGTGACTTCGGGCCCGACATTCTCTCTCAGCCCTAGATGGAGATGTTGAAAAATACCTACCTACCATGTAAAAATAAAAAGAAACATAAAAGTGGTTGAAAATAAACAATTCTCTGTATATTAATGGTTTAACAAGTTTTGTTCTAGGCTCTTTCTGAGGATACACAATTCTCAAGTGAGACTTTGGAATGGTACATGCAAACAAGGCAATTATAGACCAATATTGAATAGGACCTTACTTTGGATCTAATACACAGTATTAGAAAAAAATCAAATTAATTTTGTTGTAGTAGTGGTAGTTTATTAGTACTTACTATTTTACAACTTATAACTATTAGTACTTACTATTTAGTAGTAATTTATTATGCACTTATAACTTAGCACAGTATGTAACAACTGCTCGCATCCAATTAAAATGATCAAATTTATCTGTTTTACAAACATTTTCCTATAAAATGTTTTTTGACTTTTAAAGTTTTGTATGTCCTACAATTTGATCAGCAAACAGTAACTTAACTCTGCTCAGGAAATTTTTTCTAATGCTCCATTTAAAGTCCACCTTTATGCCAAATTATGCATATTTCTTTTAATGAAACAGCTTTACAAGTCTCTCTTAATTAATTGGGTAGGACTTATAAAAATTAAAAGCTTAAGTTTATTATATTAAGTATCCATTCTGTGGTTTATGGTTTGAATTCAGTGTCCCTGCCACTGAAGGAATAGCATCCACAAATGGATTATTTCTGTCCCCTCCAATTCTGCTCTGGAAAGTTGAGGAACTGTCTGAAGCAAATTTGGGGTATAGCCAAGAGGGGCAGAGAGAAGTCATACTCATATTGGAAGTAACCCCAAACTAACTGAAAAAGTATGTCATTGCCATTAAATCCCATAATCACACTCATTTTTAACATAGGATGAGTTCAGTCTTGAAGCATTCAATTTTTTTAAGGTCCCAATTCATCTTGCAGCCACTCTCATAGCAACTAATTACCATGCAAGAAAAGGAAGGCTTTTCTGTCTTGTCAATACACAGAGAATCTTTTATTCCATATTACTGACACCTATGAAGATTGCAAGAGTGATTTAAATATAATGGATTATTTATCCATGGTCACAGGCAAGTAGACCAAATTTTCCTGCCTCCCCTCTCCCCGCCTCTCCTCTCCATCAGTAACATGTTCTGCTCAAACTTAGCAAACTCCACTTTAATCCCCTACTGCCACCCCATTTAACAGGATTCCCTAATCTGCACTGGAACATTTGGGAAACAGTATTATGGATAAAAGGGAGAATGAGGCCACCTACCTGTTATTGGTAGATCTCTAGATTTAATTCAATCCAGAACACAGAGAAGAATGAAAAAGGTCTAAGATAAGGGACCAAAAATGACACCTCATCTGTTATAGCTGCTATTCTATTCCTATTTCCTTGCTTATTCTACTGCTGCTTCTGCAATATGGGTTGAAAAAATTTAAATAACTATTTCACTTTAACAGCAAAATTAGCATATCTATACAAAAAGATAATTCCTACATTTTATTATTTTTAAATAAAATATAAAAATTTGCTATCACACATTCCTTGTTGAACAAAACAATTCAAAGCAGTAGTTTGAACAAATTCAGACTGAATGTACTTTAGCAGGCAAGTTGGCATAATTGTTTGTATTGCTCAGTGATATATAATCAACCTTTTTTCCCCCCAAAATTAACAAATTTATAAAGAATAACCATTTTTTAAATATTAGAATCCAAATATGTTAGTTCTTCTATAATTTTGTTTTATTCATGGGGAAAATATATCAGGATGAAAAACCAGATCTTAGGCAAAAATTTAAAATAGCCCCATATCTACCTGCATGTGTCCAAGGAAAGCTTTGATTTGTGTATTTCCTAGAAAACAGCTGTCCAATTCTCCTGAGTCAGGAGGCCAACAGTTTTAATAATGGAAGAAAAGTCTGAAAGCCATTTATAATATGGCAGGAAAAGAGGTTGTACATTCAACATTACAGAAACAAATACTTCTGCATGACATATCTTTATACTGGTATATTATGTAATACCCTGGAGCTTTAAACTAAGCTCATGAACCTGCTGGAGCTTTCCCACAAATCTATGTAAATTATACATTTTGACTTTTTAAACTTCATTATTCTGGTACTGGCATTCCTCCATAAAGGAAATACAAAAGTCACATCTATTTATAAAGAGGGTAGAAGCATGTTGCAAATATAGCTGCATTCCTTCTAACTGAATCAGTGCCAAAAGACCTACAAGGGCACTTAGGTCAATGTCTACTTATACAATTAGCTTATTCTATAAATCACAGCTATAATTAGATCTTTGCAAATGTCTTGCAAGCCACACATTTAGAATTAAAATTAATCTATGTGTAGCAACTCCTTCCAGGCTCAGCAACCATTTTTTATACTTGTCAGAAACTGTCAGTAGTATCTATACACCAGTCAGGCATATTACATTATGTTGAACATCTCTCTCAAAAACGAGTCATCATCATCATCATACGAACCATAATCTTTATTTTTTTACAGTTAAATAGGAAATGCAGTAAGAATCCTCTCAGAAAATAGACAAGAAAACTAATTTAGATAATATTACCCAAGGTGAAAAGCCTTGCGTGGCACTGTAGAAACCTTTTTAGCTATTTAAATATTCTTTAATAAAGATAATTTACAGAAAGATCAATACAGCCACAAGTTCTTCAAAATGCATGATTTTAATACAGCAGCTGTTGATCAACTGCTACTTCTATAAAGAGCAGAATAACGACAGATCAGCATTTCCAGAGCAACCTCCTCCTCTCTAACTATAGCAAAAATTGATCATTATTCTGACAGCATTATTCTAGGACTTTTCTAAAATTGTAGCTACCTAAAGCAGGCAGGCTGCTTCTACCAAATCACATCCAAATGCTGCATGAAACGGTTTCCATTAAAAAAAAACAAACCCTCCCTTCTCTACATACCTATCCACTCCAGCATCTGCTCTAAAAAGCCCCCAATTCTCCAGTGCAAATTTGCTGCAGACAGGAGAGCTGAAATAGCTGGGGGAAGTTTAATCAACAAGTCTTCCAATCAAATATTACAAACCTATATTATCACTTTTTATTTAGTATCAGATTCTAATACGCATAACCTGCGGTGCAAAATTTTGCCGAGTAGACATAATCTGGGTTATTCTTTCAGCATTACTAATTGGATTTGAGGAGCTTTCCCCAACTTCTGATGTGTTATACCACAATTTCTATCATCTCCCATCCAGGTTGGGGAAAACTGAGTCAAAGCAAATTCTCTAGCCATTTTTATCTAAAAAAAATTGGCAAGCAGTATGTCTGGAATTATGAAAAATGTGAACAGCTATAGAAAGTATACAGTGAGAATCTTTGGGTAAGGAGTAGACAGTTGTCACAATCTTCATTATCAAATAGTTTATAAGATTATCAAGTTGAATTCATTAAGAGCATTTGGTTATAGAATGTATGCTACTACAAACGTGCACTATACATATATTAGACGAAGGTTCCCTCCAGATGTTACTAAATTATAAATCCTTGGCTAATGGTAAGGAAGGCTGGGAACTGCATTTTAACAATATAGGGAGAGGGCACAAGTTCCCCATTCAGCATTATCATTTGGGTTTTTTTTCTCGATTTGCTAAGTCAATTAGGTGTTTTTCAAAGGCAAAGGGTATGTTCATTTGTCAAAATAACCCATTAAGCCTGGCTTAGTAACAAATTTGTCTGCAAGCACCATATGCTCAACAAAAAAGCAAGTGCAGCTATTAAGCCATCTGTGACTTGGCTAGCCCGAACAACTGAAAGTTTTCCTCTTCATCAATTCCGCCAACCCTGCACTGCAGTAAACACTCTTGCTACAATAAAAGTTATCCTGATCTTTCTGCTATATTGTATGTCATATAGGGCTGCAGCAAAGGAAAAGTGTCCCAAATCAGGCAGAGTGATTTCATACCAAGCAGGAAGTTTATGCGTTAGGTTAAGAACCCTCCGCTTGAATATAGGAAATTGCCTTTCACACTATTGCCTCATATGACACAGATAGCCAAAATTCAGGAAGGCTTCCTGATCTATAGGAGAAGGTTTGGTTTAGGGGACTCTAGGATAGGAAGAGAAGGAAGAACAACATCAGTTGTGAAACTGTCTTATATAAGCTGCCTCTTTCTTGCTCAATCTATCAATTTACTACTTTGTAACTTTTTTTCCTTCAATTAAAAGAGAATGTGTTGTTTACATGCACTTATTTTCAAGGGCAAAGATGGGAAATTTGGAGTTCAGCAACATCTGGAATGCCACAACCCCCAGCAGGCCTAACTAAAATGTCAAGAACATTAGTTCAGCCATTAGGTTATCTTCTTACCAAGGGCATTGTGGGAAGAGCTAAAATTTTATGGCTGGTCTTACTCTTGATTTGTTATCACTGCTGGTAGTGATGGTCCTTAGTATGAACTGCATTAAGAGACAAGGGAATCAAGATAGGTTGAGTGCTGTTATATTACCTGCCCTAGGATCATACAACCCTTATGCAAACCAGCCTGGTGATGAAGCGGGAACAAAAGTATTTTATGGCCCTGCTTCTATCATCCATTCACTTAACACAGAATTTGGGCAGGGAATCTCTGTGTTTGACCAGCTATTCATATACAGAGTATATATAAATTAAAACAGCATGTAATCAGCTCTCTTGATCTCACAGAGACTCTACGTTCAAGTAGACATGCTGACACAAAAAGACTACTCTCCAAACGTTAATACAGAAAGACAGATCAGCCATCTTATTTCAAGGCAGGGCTAGAAACATGTCCCCACTTCTGTTTTATTGTGTAACTGTGCTGTGTACAAGTAACACATGAATAGGGCTAGTTTTATTAATAGTCCCTATTCTTGCTTCTTTTTGCCTTTTTGTCCACTTGCTTCAGGGGATATAATAAATCGCGTTCTCTGTAAAGAATATCAGAAAATAGCTTTACACTTACTTGATGAAGTCTTCTACTCTCCATTGTCAGGAAATAAAATACAGACCAGTTACCCCACTGTTTCTCAAACTTGGCAACTTTAATATGTGTCGACTTCAACTTCCAGAATTCCCCAGTCAGCCATGCTGGTTGGAGAATTCTGGAAGTTGAAGTCCACAATTAAAGTTGCCAAGTTTGAGAAACACTGATTTAGACCATAATGTAGCCAAAACTGCTGATTTTTGCAAGGCTTGTTTTGAAACAAAAAATAATTTAGAAGGCTAGAGTATAACCAAGAAGTCAATTTCCCTGGGAAGAATCCAGTTGTTCCCAAATATCCTAAAACTTCTCAATACAAAATCTCTGCTAAAACAAGGAGAGCATCAAGTTGCCAGAGGTAAATGTGCTGTAAAATAATAGGAACTAATGAGCAATGTAGAAGTAATATAACCTGTAGTGCATACGTGGCTCATTTTTCCTAGGCAGTACAATAAGTTATTCAATCAAAGAGTTGTTAACCTAAAACAGTGTAAAAAGATGATGTCCTATCTCATCCTTTGATTCCCTGTGACTAATGCAGTAAATTCATTCTAGGAAAATAAAGTCTACAGTGATGTAATACCTTGTCATAGTTAAACTAATATAAAAAATTAAAAGCATTCACTGTATTTCATATTTAGTTTTAAAAAGCAATAGGAAGCCTTTTAGAATTATGCACAACAGATGTAAACAATATATTCAGAAAGGAGAGTTTGCCACTGCCTGATTTTACATCCCTTTTCAAACGTTAAACATTCCAACTGGGGTATGAAACTTAGCCTTGAATTAGCAGAGTCTGTTAACTCAATTGATAGGTCCCAGTCAAATCTTCAGGAAGTTAATAGCTTTAGAAAAGTGGGTGCTCATAGGTCTAGATCAAATCCAAAATGAAGTTTTGAATGACAATGGGTGTTCCTGTATCAAAACCACAAATATCCAGCATCCCTTTGTCATCTGGGTCTGCAACCGTAAAGCTGCTGGATGTCATTCCACAAACTATTAACTTGGATGGAATACCCATTCTCTATAAAAAGACAAAGAGAGACAGAAAAACACTTTTTTCAGATCATAACTGCATAACAACAAATTATTTATAAAAGCCAAGTCTTACAGAGTTTATTACTGAAGTGCACAATCCATAGTCTTGCCACCTCCCTGGGAAGTGGGAAGGCTCCCTTTCTCTCAGTATTTTGTCAGGATTTTTGATCCCAACTATCACTGACACAATTAGGGAGACCTGAATGTGGCAAATGGGGGAAATATACTGGCTTTCTTAAATGTACACTTTCTGTCTTATCTGCAGAAGCCCTTTTCTTTTTACTGCTCATTCCTTCTGCTTTGCCCTTGAATAGCTTTTACTGCCTCTGATGACAAGCACTGTTACATTCGTGGATTACTTATGTGAGCCCGGTATACTTCTAGATGGTATGACTGTAGTGCAGATCCCTAAAAAGCCACAAGCAGTGCTGACACAACACTAATATAAAAAGGACTGAACTAGCATGCACTAAGCACAAAATCACCTTATATATTTGTATTTAATTCTATTTTAGGATCATAATTATATTGTTTACCATATCAGATATAATGGTTTCTGAAAATGGTCCTTTGTTATACATAACATACATCTTCAGAAAGTTGGCAAGTACTTAAGAATGCAGGATTTTATAAAGGAACATTTTTTTCTTATTTTGCATTTCATAAAGAATACTTACCTCTCTGTACTGCCTCAAGGCTGTGGCAGGATGAACATCTCCAGCAAAAGTCTCACTATCCATGAAGATAATAAAAACATCAACTGCTACACCTGTCTTTTGGGCCCACAGCACTGGAGAAGAACAATTGGTGGCACCCTTGGGAATCTATGATAAGTAAGAAAATCATTAAGAACCAAACAAGCCAGCAAATATTACATAGCTTTTTCATTCAGCAGTATTTCTGCCAGGGGATCCCATTCTGCAATGGGAATGTGAACCAAAGCTTATATATAAGAATTCCAGCTTTGTTGGTTGTATATCATATTCTATATAGTGAATGATGGTTTCCCTGGGAAGTGATCAAATGCCACCTAAATTATTTTTGCCCATCAAACCAACATCTCCTGTGACTTGCAATATCAGTTCACAGTTTCAGACAGAGACCTATACTACTTGCCCATTGAGCCTTTCCTCTGGAGATGCCAAACTGATAGGCAAATGGAGGAACACAACAAAGCAGTTTTAAAGGCAACCCATGCAGCTACAGAAGTTCCTGTTCCCAGAGAAAGGGAGTAAATTTTTTTCTGGCCTGAGGGCTAATTTAGTGGCAGCTGATTACAACACATGCCAACAATTCACAGAGGCCTTTTTCATCTTTCACACATGCACAGACAAATCCACAATACCCATAGCATGTAAACAGGCATACAGGTAGTCTTTGCTTATCAACAGTTCATTTAACGACAGTCCACAGTTACAACGGCCTTGGGAAAAGTGCTTTACAACCCCATGGTCGCATGATTGTGATTTGCGACCTTTTTTGTGTTGGTTGTTAAGTGAATCACCATGATCATTAAGCAAATCACATGTCATTAAGAGAATCACATGGTCATTAAGTGAATGCCAGCAAAAACCGTCCATTGGGGAAGCTGGATTTGCTTAATGACCACATGATTCGCTTAACAGCCATGTGATTCGTTTAACAACTGCAGTGATTCACTTAACAACCATCATAAAAAGGTTGTAAAAATCAGATGATTCACTTAACAACCAAATCAGTTAGTGACCTAAATTCCAGTCCCTATTGTGGTTGGATAGCGAGGACTACCTATACATATACAGTCTTATGAAAAAGGAAGTACACCCGCTTTGAGTTCTGTGGTTTTATGTATCAGGACATAATAAAAATCATCTGGTCCTTAGAAGTTCTCAAAAGTAGG